ATTTCTCTCATACTTCGGACACGTTATCAGAAGTGACCAGTCCTCTGAGCAGGACATCATACTCGACAAAGTGGTGTGTCAGAGAACAAGAGGAAGACCCCAACAAGACGGATTGGCACAGTGGCAACAGCAATGGGCTTGAACTTAAAAACAGTTGTGAACACGGCACAGGACTGGGCAGTATTTCGTTCTGTTGTGCTATGATTCAGACCCCGACACAACGGCACCTAATAACAACTTTTTAGGGTACCCTGTGTTTTAGGGTACCCTGTGTTAGCTGCCTTTGAGTCGGTTTAGATTCACAGTGACTTTATTTATGTGACTCCTTGTGTGCAGAGTGGAACTGCCACCTAAGGTTTTCTGTGACTTGTCAGAAGCACATGGCAGGGTCTTTCTTCTGAGGTGCTTCTGGGTGAATTGGAACTGCCAAACTTTCTGCTAGTCCCCAATTAACATGTGTGTCACCCAGGGACAGCTGACTTTTGTATAACAGAAGGAAATGCCACCACCAGCCCTGCACCCCTTTCATGATCTTGATCTATCTGAGCGCACTGTCTAAGGGGATTCAAACACACAATGCTGAAAGAGAGCCGCTATGCTGAGAACCGAGGAGAACAAGAAGGGCCACTGAATCGGGCTCAGTTATTTGAGGTCGCAAGTTCCCCCAGAACCTCATATTGCCCCAACTTGGTGTGTCCATGGAGGCATTAGCGTCTACTTGAAGGATAAGTGAACTGGAAATGAAAACTCAGAGTCAGATAAAAAGAGAGGCAAGCCTTTTCCTCATGTACACAAGGTCCAATCTGTGAACCTCTTGGAATTTGCTCTTCAGCGCCCCCCTCCCCAAGCTGTTGACTGGCCAATGTGTCTGTAAGCTCCCGAAGTTTGTGAAACACTAGGGTCACCTTTACAAGTGTTTCTAGAAGAAGCCCCAATTCTGTGAAAATAGGTATGCTGGTAAAGCTTTTTGCTCAATCCTGGTCCACAACATTTTGGGAATATCACCGGGTTCCAGGCTGCATGAGAAGACAGGGATAGAAGTGGTTTGTGGCGTTCCCTTCCTCACAGGAACCAGAGGGCCAGGAAGCAAGCTGATGGCCCCAGGAGCCCATGTGGCTTCTTTCGTATGTGTTTTTTCTGCACAGTGCTGCCAACCTCTGTGACAAGGGCAGCATTTTTTCTTCCTAGGACTCTCCCCCCTGACAGGTCCGGAACAGCCTCACTATCATCCCCCCATTTGTGAGGGTCAAGCATTCCTTCTAATGCTAATGCGTTAATGATAATTTACCCCATTCTTCTGGCAAGAGCAAAACTGAAGCAAACTGAAATGCCATCAGACCAAAATAAAGAGTGTATTTCCCATTCCTGAGCAGCAGAGAAAACAGGGTTTCATTGGCTATGTCCGCCTTCAATAGTTTTCTGGTTTCAATTAAAACTTCAAGTCTCCAAGGGAAAAACTGGCATTCTGGGAGGCTGAGAGGCCCAGCCAAGTTTCAGTGTCTCTGCAGGAACCCAAAAAGGTCGTCCCATCCCTTAAACTAGTTCTCACCTGCCTCCTGTACATTCTGCATAGGAGCTTCTGATCAGAGACTTAGGCATCACTAAAAATAATGACCAGGTTGAGAAAACTCCTCTCCTAGACCCTCATGTTCCTGCCAGAGAAGTATCAATTAGGCCCCTGTAATGGAACTGAAAAGGAACTCTGGGAGCGTAGTGGTTACGAATCGGGCTGTGAACCGGAAGGTCAGCAGTTCGAAACTACCAGCTGCTCCGCGGGAGAAAGATGAGGCGATCTGCTCCCGTAAAGATTTACAGCCTCGGAAACCCTATTCAGGGTTGCTATGGGTCTGAACCGACTCAATGGCACTTATCAACAACAACAATGGAACTGAAAGATAACAGCAGAAATGGACGAATGCCTCCAAGAGGAGATGCCTACCCATTTATTTCTTCTTCAGTAAAATTCTGCCTCCTGCCTCTCTCCCCACTGAACATGTTCAACTACCTTCCAAAAAGATCCCAGTCCCTGCTTGCTTCTTCGTTTCAACCCTCCTTTCAGGTCAGATCCTTTACAAAGTCCCTTTCTATACACTCTGCACATGACTAGAAACCCCAATGGTACTTGGGGACTGTTTTTGGTTTACTCTGGGCTTCCCCTGTAGGCCTCTGGTGTGAAGTCCAAACGGGGCTTCCCAGGAGAAACTTCCAATGCAACATGCTGATGTTCACACACAAAAGAGCAATCAGAACCTTTCACGTGCCTGGCCCATTCATGAACTTATAAAGTAGCTGGTGTTTGCTCCCAAGCTAGAAATGGTCCCCTTTCTAACCAAGGCAGCTGCCTCTTACAGGCAGGCTCCTGCTTTGCTTGTTACAAACCATCCCCTCCCCCACCTCCAGTTTGGTTATGCCCCAAACACATCTATTTCGCTGCTAAGAGAGACACTTCAGGTTCCCTACTCTGACTCCCTGTTGCATTCATTCACCCCTCCTCCCTCCACTCAGCTCAGGTTACTCTTGTGACTAGCTGCTCCCATCAACCATCTCTAACACCAAGTCAACTCGCCAAGGCTTTTTCTAATGGGGGTGGGATGGGGAAGGAAAATGTTATGTACCAGGTCTTCAACCAGTCCGCCTGTTTCTCTCCTTAACAGTTTGCAAATACTCTGTGCTCAACCCTACTTGCTCGCTTCCTCCTCTTTGGTGCTCTAACAGCCTTTCCTGGTAGCAAGCAAGACGCTCAAGCTCAGTCCAAAACACAGCCCCTTCATTCCAGTCTGAAATCTGGACTCCATAGCTGGCCATTAGAGAAAACTCCTCCCTCTGGGAGTTTTAAGGATCAGGAAAGTCACAAAAAGCTGGACAAAGGGGAGGGATTATAAAGTGGCTACTTTTAAAGTGCCACTTGGCCCAGCCTCCCCATCCCTGCCAAGCAACATCTAACAGGGAAATGCCCCCAGAAGTGGCCCAGGTCTGGTCCCAGTGTAGTAGATGTGGCAGGCACAAAACAACACCCTTCCTCTCCAATCTCCACCCCTCCCCACGGCCCTCGCACAAACAGGGTTTGCCAATTTAGATGGGTTTGGAAAAGGCAGAACAGAGTTTACCTGTCTGATTTAAAAGAGGTCAGGGATTGGGGCTAAACTGTCAGACTTTATTGGTGACAGCTACTTATGAGATGGGATTTTCACACAAACCCACAAGAAAAAGAAGAAAAGCATAAAAGGAAGGAAAGGAATGAAAAGGAAGAGAAGAAAAACAATGCAAGAGAAGAATAAATAATCTCAGGAACTTCCTTGGGGACCTAAGACTCCAGCCAAACTTTAGGGGAAAAGATATTAATAATTACGGGGGGAGTAGGGTGGGCAGTGGGGACTGGTAAGGAAAAGTAGCTGCTGCTACAGAATAAACTGTCCTTTTGGAGGGAAGCTGCTACGCGGATAAAGACACACACAAATTGCCCTTTTAGCATTAGACTTCAACCATGAGATTATCAGGACAGTTTATTTGAAGCGGAAACAAATCGGAAATCCTTCCTTCAACAGTCCTTTTAGAAAGATACGCAGTCTGCACAGACACATATAAAGAATAAATGCAACATCGGAGGCAATAAGACCCCCTCCCCGCACCCCCAGCAGCTCCAGCCTTATCTTCTACTTCCAATTACAGTACTTTCCGTTCTCCAATGAAAATATTTCCACTTGGATCCGATTTCAGAATTGTTCTATGGGAGAGGGGGCGGGTGCTTGCAGAGCATAGGGAAGGGGGGCAGGAAGACAGCATTTAGACAGCAACTAATTTTTTTAGAACCAGCATGCTCTACCGATCAGAATTTGTATTGCCCAACAATGCTTCCATCACAAACAGACACCAAAAACAGCGTCACCGTTATCACCATCTTGCTAAAGATCTACCCAGTCCAGTTTTCCTCACTTTGTCTTGGTGGAACTTCTCAGTCAGTGTTTTGGTCAAAAGGATAATGGTTGGAAAGACAAAAACAATAAATCGATACTGAAGGGTTCCCTTTCCGGAGTGATTTCCCACTGGAAACCACCGAATGGGGAAGCCTGTTGTTACTTCCCAAGCCCATGGCTCCTCTAAAAACACAACACAATGCTTTCCAAAAAGAAAAAGAAAGGCAATCGTCTTTCTTTTCAGGGAATTCCTATCTTTTCAGAGTCCCAAAACTGGAGAGCACGAGCAGGAAACTCACATTCATTGCTATTATTTTTGAAGATACAGCCACAATACAAGCTCCCACCAGCCTTCGCCGGCTGGACCACTTCTTCCCTGTTCTATTAAGGGCATGTTAGATTCTGATGCATTTCCCCCCCTCAAAAAATCCAACTAGGTTACAATGCAGCTCTCTAGCTCCACTTAACCTGCAAGTTACAAAGAAAGCAACATATATATATTTATATATACATATATTTATATATATATATACGAGTGTGTATATAGATGTATGTATGTGCGTGTATATGTGTATAAATAGATATTATATATACACACATACATATGTATATGCCACCTTTCCACTCCTTCCCCTGGCCCATCCAGTTCGCCAGTACAGTCCACTTAAACAAACGCCAAACGCGCCCGCCCAGGCCGCCGGCAGTAGGACCAAAGGAGGTTGCAAACGGGGGGAGGGGGGGGTCCAATTAGGTGAAACTCAAAAAGCTCCCACCCCTCCAGCCCGACGCTTCCACCACCGCCGCCACCAACGGGCCACTCCAATTGAGCCACTGAGCATCGTAAGCCCACCCGTGGGCCGCCTAGAATCGCACCCAGTCTCGGCTGCCGGACCGGGACCCGCATCCCGGCTCCTCGGCCCCTTCTCCCCCTTCCGGCCCGGTGCAAAGTCAAAGCCCCGGCGAGACGACGTGAACTTTTGCATGCTGGGCACACACACCGCCCCCTGCCCCAGGCGCGCGGGGGCCCGAGGCACGGCAGGCGGCTGGGTGCCGGGTTCCCGGGCCAAGGTCGCCGCGCGTGCTCACCCATGTCCCGGCGGCTCCGGCTCCGCTGGCCCCGGCGCTAGCTCAGATCCCGGCTCCGGTCATTCGGCCGAGCCCCCAAAGGTGCTGCTGCGGCAACTCCATGGCGATGAGCATCTGTCAAACGGCGAGCCCCGGAGGGTGGGGGGAGCAGCCCTA